AGGCCCGAAACGTCAGCTTTCCTGCTCCTCTGATGCTGCTTGGCCTGCTGTGTTCATCCAGCTCTACACCTTGTTATCGCTAATGCTTTGACCTCAACCGCTTTCTGTGGCAGAGAATTCTGGAGAGTTGTGTGGGCTGTTTTTGTAATTCCTTGAGTATGGGAGATTGATGGATGATGTAATTGAGATGTTCAAGATGATTGAGGTAACTGATAGTCTGGATAGAGAGAAATTCTTTCCCCTCGTGGGTGGGGGAGGGAGCAGGGATGCGGGGGCAGAAGAGGGAGATCCCAAAGCAATGGTTGGCATAATTATAAAATCAGAGCCAGGTTATATTCAAAGGGGATGCCAGGAAGAATACTTCAATATTGTAAATTTAGAAATCTCTCCAACCCACTGAGGCTGGGGAACAACGGGAAATTTCAGAAAATTGCATAGATATTGTTAGATTTTTGATGGAAATGAGGTCAAGTGAAATGATGTGCAAACAAAGCAAGGACAACGTCAGAAAGAAGCTTACTCACTCAGTGTGTTGTTAGGGTGTGGAATGTACTGCCTGGAATTGTAGTGAGGCAGGTTCAATGTAGGCCTTCAAGAGGGTATTGGAAGATTGTTTTGATTTTTTTTTATTTGCTGTGGTCATCGCTAGCTGGGCCAACATTTATTACCCATCCTGAATTGTCCAGAGGGCGGTTAAGAGTCAGCCAACTTGCTGTGGGTCACATGTAGGTCAGAGCAGGTAAGGACACCAATTACCTTCCCTAAAGGATTTCAGTGAAACAGATGGGCTTTTCCAACAATTGACAAAGGCTTCATGGTCATCTTCCAGGTTTCTTTCAAGAAATGGTTTTCAGGACTACGGGGGAAAAGGCAGGAGATTGCGATTAGGTAATAGAGCTGGTACAGGCATGATGGACTGAATGGTCTCCTCCTGGGCTGTTATAATTCTGTGCAATGGAGTTCAGATACAGAGCAACCATTGGTCAAATTAAATGGTGGGGCAGGCTCGAGAGGCTGATAAACCTCCTCTTCCTGTTAGCAGAATACAGGGTTAACGGAAAGATTCTTGGCAGTGTGGAGGAGCAGAGGGATCTTGGGGTTCGTGTTCACAGTTCCCGGAGAGCTGCCACCCAGGTGGATAGAGTTGTTAAGAAGGCGTATGGTGTGTTAGCTTTCATTAATAGAAGGATTGAGTTCAAGAGCCGTGAAGTTATGCTCCAGCTATACAAAAGCCTGGTTCGGCCACATCTGGAGTATTGTGTCCAGTTCTGGTCACCTCATTACGGGAAAGATGTGGAAACGTTAGAAAAGGTGCAGAGGAGATTTACCAGGATGTTGCCTGGAATGGAGGGAAGGTCATACGAGGAAAGGTTGAGAGAGCTAGGGCTTTTCTCTTTAGAACGATGAAGGATGAGAGGTGACTTGATAGAGGTGTACAAAATGATCAGAGGTATAGATAGAGTAGACAGCCAGAAACTTTTTCCTAGGGTGGAGGTAGCTTTTACGAGGGAACATAGTTTTAAAGTGAAAGTAGGTAGATATCGGGAAGACATCAGAGGTAGGTTCTTTACTCAGAGAGTGGTAGGGGCGTGGAATCCATTGCCGGAGAGGGTAGTGGAGTCAGCCTCATTAGGGGCATTTAAGCGGCTATTAGATAGGCATATGGATGATAGTATAAGGTAGGGGTGGAGGTTAGATAGACCTTAGGTTTAGGGTAAAAGTTCGGCACAACATCGTGGGCCGAAGGGCCTGTACTGTGCTGTACTGTTCTATGCTCTATGTTCCTGTGTAACACTGTACTCCATCAAGACTGTCAGCCTTCAGCAAAGGGTGTAAAGTGACTTACATATGGAGTAGGGTGGTGTTGTTTAGAAATATTAATTCATGTCTGTAGCTGTAAAGAAAGCCTACTCTCAGCCTGAAAACTGTGTGGGAGGAATGGTGGCTGGAGGGGTGGAAGGTTGCACGGCCTCACAGCACCAGGGACCCAGATTTGGACCCAACCTCAGGCAACTGTCTGTGTAGGTTTGCTTCAATTTCCTCCCACAGTCTAAAGCTGTTGGGAGAGGGGAACTTCGTCCAGGCCCAGCTTTTCTTCTGGGACTCCGTCCTCCCTCCCACTAACCCCCTCCAGCCCCACCCCCACCCAGGGTGGCGGAAGGCACCAGTGAAATGCAGTTACCTCTTCTTTTGTGACTGCAGATCAGGTGGGCCAATGGGCCGAAGAGTGGCAGATGGAGTTTAATTTAGATAAATGTGAGGCGCTGCATTTTGGAAAGGACTTATACACTTCATGGTCAGGTCCTGGGGAGCATTGCTGAACAAAGAGACCTTGGGGTGAGGTTCATTGTTCCTTGAAAGGAGTCGCAGGTAGATAGGATAGTGAAGAAGGCATTTGGTATGCTTGCTTTTATTGGTCAGTGCATTGAGTATAGCAGTTGGGAGGTCATGTTATGGCTGCACAGGACATTGGTTAGGCCAATTTTGGAGTAGTGCGTGCAATTCTGGTCTCCCTGCTATCGGAAGGATGTTGTGAAACTTGAAAGGGTTCAAGAAATATCTACAAGGATGGTGCCAGGGTTGCAGGCTTTAAGCCATAGGGAGAGATTAGGCTGGGGTTATTTTCCCTGGAGTGTCGGAGGCTGAGGGGTGACCTTATAGAAGTTTATAAAACCATGAGGGGCATGGATAGGGTGAATAGGCAAGGTTTTTTTCCCTGGGGTGGGAGACTCCAAAACTAGGGGGCAAAGATTTACGCTGAGAGGGGAACAATATAAAAGGGACCTAGGGGTAACTTTTACACGCAGAGGGTGGTGCGTGTATGGAATGAGCTGCCAGAGGAATTGGTGGAGGCTGGTACAATTATAACATTTAAAAGGCATCTGGATGGCTATATGAATAGGAAGGGTTTAGATGGATATGGGCCAAATGCTGGCAAATGGGACTAGATTAATTTAGGATATCTGGTCAGCATGGACAAGTTGGACTGAAGGGTCTGTTTCCATGCTGTACAACTCTTTGACTCTATGACTGTAAGTAATTAATCAGACATGCCAAGCCAATGAGATGTTTCTGAGCCTGTGATTCCACTCACCACCTTTAACATTCACTCCTTCCGGCAACGATGAGGAGTAACAGCAGTGTGTACTTTCCACAAGGTGCACTGCAACAACTCAATAGGGCTCCTTCCACCACACCTTCCAAACCTACGGCCACTTCCATCCAGAAGGACAAGGGCAGTAGATACGTGGGAACACCACCCCCTGCTAGTTCCCCTCCAAGCCACTCACCACCCTGACTTGGAAATGTACCGCCGTTTCTTCACTGTGGCTGGATCAAAATCCTGGAATTTGATTTATTGATGGATTTATTGTCACATGCACTGAAATAACGTGAAAAGTTTTGTGTACAAGCGGTACAGGCAGATCACAGCAAGCAAAGGGTGTACAGACCAAAAAGACTTAAAGGCATACAGGTTACATTGCAGGTTACATTATTTGAGGCTAGAGTCCATTCAACCATCTGATAACAGCCAGAAAGAAGCTGTTCCTGAACCTGCTGGTGCCTGTGTTCAGATTCTATACCTTCTGCCTGATGGAAGGGGTTGTAGGAGATCATTACCGGGGTGCGATGGGTCTTTGATGTTGGCCGCCTTTCCACAGCAGCAAACCGTGTAAATGGAGTCCATGGATGGAAGGTTGGCTTCTGTGATAGTCTGGGCTATGCAAACCACCTTCTGTAGTTTCTTACAGTCCTGGGCAGAGCAGTTGCCATACCAGGTTGTTATGCACATGGACAGTATGCTGTTAGTGGTGCCTCTGTAGAAGTTGGTGAGGGACCCTATGGACATGGCAAATTTCCTGACCTGCCTGAGGAAAAAGAGGCGTCGTTGTGCCTTCCTGACTGTCACATTTACGTGGGACGTCCAGGACAGATTGTCGCTTATCGTCACTCCAAGGAACTTAATGCTCTTCACCCTGTCAACCTCAGTTCCATTGATGTAGATGGGGGTGTGTTCTCCTCCTGTCTTTCTGAAGTCCTTTAGTTTTGCCAACATTGAGAGACAGATTGCTTTCATTGCATCATGTCACCAAGCCCTCTATCTCCCTTCTGTATTTTGACTCATCGTTGTTGGATATCCGCCCCACTACGCTGGTATCACCAGTGAATTTGTAGATGGCATTCATTCGGAATTTGGCAACACAGACATGGGACTACAGGGAGTACAGTCGGGGGCTGAGGAATTTCTTCCCTATCCGACCACCTTCCTACAGCACAGGGACAGCAGCATCTCAAAAGGTGACTTACCCACTCCCCTCAGAAACTTCCCAACAGTTATTAGGGATGGGCAGCAAATGTTGATGTAGACTTCAGTGCTCACATCCTGTGAAAGAATAAACTTAAAATAATGATATCAAAGGCAGGCTTTCACTGTCTCTGCTTTTCTTTATTTCTTTCAGGTCTTTGAGGGGTCTTTCCATCAACTTCACAAGGAGCTGACCGAAGTCACTGAGGAAATGTTTGAATTGATTGAAAAGTGGCTCAGTGAAAGGCTATCCCCAGTAAAAACATGAGCGAGGTGTGAAAATGAGAGAGTTTACTAATTTAATTTATACAGGGACTGAATGGGAGGATGGGTGGGAGGGGAATAAAACCAGTTTCAAATTATCTGATTAACAAATTAAAATCTTTTTTTACACAAAAATAAAGTTATTGAATAGATTGATTTTTTTTTTGTGTTACTGCATTATATACAGCATTATCTCATTACTGTCCCACATTTCCTCCCTGCCCCTACATATAATCTCAATTTTACAATAACAGTTCCACATTCAGTATAATTAGCATTATCAGCAATCCTATAAGCCATTTGTTGACCCTCATGCTGAAATAGAACATATCAAAGAGATCCTATGAGATAATGGCTATCCTCATCTGACCATTTCTTACTGTACATAATACAAGCTCACGAGAAACTTACTCTTGGTTCTGAGAAGTGCCAAAACAAGCTGTTTCGGTGCTGCTATGCACTAACAACATGAGAGGTTTGGGTTTGATTCCTGGCCAATGCGTGGCAGCCCTTTCTTGGGAGTGGCATGGTGGCTCAGTGGTTAGCACTGCTGCCTCATAGAGCCAGGGACCTGGGTTTGAATCCATCTGTGAGTTTGTGGACTTTGCACATTCTCCGCATTTCTGCTGGGTGCTCCGGTTTCGTCCCACAGTCCAAAAGATTGGCTGCATATTTTGAGGGGGTTTGGTCTGGTCCATAACCATTGGCAGCCTCCAAGTAAGTTCAAAGTGACTGAACACTAAGAAATTACATTATGAGCCATAAGATACATCCTGTGCAGATGTATGAGATTTTTTTTTTGTGTGTGTGTGTGTGCACAAAGTTACCTGGCCAGGAGCATACAGCTGTAACTGTCTCTGAGCTCCAAAGGGAAATCCTGATGAAGGTTAGGGGGGATGGTTTCCATGGAGCACACAGGCTCATTGTGGTGAGGACAGCGAGGTCTGAGGCCCTGAAGGAGCAAACCACCTGGTAATAGTTTCCATATTTCACATCAGAAATTGGCACTATTCCATTTCTTGGGAAGGAGAGGAGAACTGGGGATTGCAAGACCATGAGGAAACCGTAGCTAAAAATGAGATAGAAATGCAAGGATATCAGGACATAGTGAGATTCAGAACTTGCCAGTTAAACTGCTAGGGAAAAGTAAGAACTTTTCTTTCAATGTTGAGATTCCGATTTTCACAAATCTTCCTGACTTTCTGACCATTGCCAGCACTGCTCAGGAGAGTGGGACAGCCATGCATAGGAACACAACTTCATTTTTGTGGAAACCCTTTTGTTCAACCAGCACCTTTAGGGAAGAACATCTGCTGGCCTATACATGACTCCAGGCCCTCAGAAATCAAAGCTGAAAATGCTGTGAGCAGGAATAACAGCATTTCTCAAGAATGACTGCTGCGATACTCACATTGTGTGTATGCATTAATGATAAGCTCTCCCTTTGGAGACAAAACAGAAATTGATGGCAAGCTTTAGCAGGTCTGGCCTGCCTTTAGAAATATAGGCTGAACAAAAATTAAACAAGCTTCTGAGGTTAGCTGCAATTTCACTGTGACCTCAGTAGTCTTGTGTTAGAATTCTATTACGAAAGGACACTGTACAAATTTCTGAAGAAGGGTCTAGGCCCAAAACGTCAGCCTTCCTGCTCCTCTGATGCTGCTTGGCCTGTTGTATTCATCCAGCTGTACACCTTATTATCTTAGTTCAGATTGTGTTACTGTGTAATCTTACCATCACTTACAGTGTGACAATAAACATCATTTAACAGCTATTATTAAAGAAATCTGGCCTGAGCTGATGTGAAAGTGCCCACATTACAACACAATCCAACACATGATATACAGGCACCGATGTGGAGGATTCAGTTTATTGTAAATATGAAGTAAATCAGATTTATTGGCGTTTGTTTAACAGTTCTGGATTAGAGAGTACAGCAAATAACAATGTCAACATGAGAAATACGTTAAAATGTTGATTTAAACATGGTTTTCACTGATTCTTTAAAAATATTTACCGTTACACTCTAATGCCAATTCGCAAATAAAGTAATTTTTTTTTGTCATTTTACTTTCAGTCCTCTCTCATTCCCTTCCCATGTGTGATTGTGAGATTAGTGTCATTGTCTCCCAGCGACTGAAATTACTTTTATTTCTCTGTGAGATTGTAGGGTTTTGGGGGAATGTATCCAGAGTGGCTGCCTATTCAACCCAGGACGGCACCAACACTTTGAACTGAAGTCAATGCTTAGCCTGCCTTGAGATATCTTCCATCTGTGCTGTCAAGTGCCAGTCACTGATCAGCCCTCAATGATTGACTATGTAACACTTTTTAGCAGGTAACTGGGGAAATCAGAATACATCTTACAACAGAGATTTAATAGGCTTGTTGGAAATTGTTGAACATTCTATTGACAAGTATCAGTAATCAGAATACATCGACAACAACAACACAAGCAAAGTTGCTGTAAAACAAAGTAGAATACTTCAGGGATCAAGAGACACCTTTTTGTGTTACAGTGATGAACACATGTGGATTGTAGAGATACATTGGCTCAAATCAAATCAGCACTTCTCCTCTGAGATTGACACTCAATTTTAAAGACATTAAAGTGTTCAGGAAATCAACAGTATCAGCAGAAGGACCACGGTTCTCTCTAATTGGTTTATTAGTGTTTTAGCAATGCATTTCACAATTCTGTTCGCATTATATGGAAATGGTGAACCAGTGGCCTCGTCTACATCCTACGGAGGAGGAGTGATGGAGCTCAGGAGTGTAACATACCAATGCTATGGTATTGGAGGATACACCCCTACAGCAATGCGGCTGACAAGAGACAATCACTTACGGCTGGTGGGTCTAAGAGATCACCATTGCTTCTATCTGAACCCCCTCTTCCCAATCCACCCATTGTACCCTACAGTTCTGCTGGCTCCTTGGCTCACAGTACCAAGAGACGGGGAGCTGCTGACTGGGATTGAGAAATGTCAATCGAAATGAGGAGGGCAGCCTTTCTCCCAACTCAGAAACAATGGGCGCACACAAAGAGGGAAGTATGTGTATTCACAGCTTTCTGTGGCTCGGTCAAACATAATTGAATTAAAAATTTGATTGGGAAACTGTTGCCAAACACATACTTCCTTTTAACATAGTTTTCTTTTGGGGATAAAAGACACATATTTTTGTTAAATTAGGCAATTTGATTTTTGTTTTTACCCTTCCCACAATCCCCTCCCCCCCACAATACACACACCCCCATTATAAGTGAAATTGGTTCCTTTGTAAACTGGCCACATTTATCGTTCATGTTTATTCTACTGGAGGCAACCTGTCGGCGATCCATTTCCCAATCAACGTAAAGACTTCTACAGTAACATTTGGCACCTCTCGATGCAGCTGGTGGAAACATTTACTGAAGACCTGAAACACACTCAGAAGGGAGAGATGGTAGTGACTAAACAGCATCACCTGAAAGACCAACTTGTGCAAGTGAAAGAATCCAAATAAAATCTTATCACAGCAAGGTGTCTTCACTGTGGACATTCCTTGAAAGCAATGAAACATCAACTTGGGAGCAAAATACCGGCAATGATCAAAGAATCCCTACAGTGCGGAAACAAGCCATTTAGCCCATTGAGTCAATACCGACCCATCAAAGAGCATCCCACCTAGGCACACCCCTCTACCTTATTCCTGTAACCCTGCATTTCCCTAGGCTGATCCACCTAGCCTGTACATCAATTTAGCATGGCCAATCCACCCAAAACTACACGTCTTTGGACTGTGGGAGGAAACCGGAGCCCCTGGAAGAAACCCACGTAGACACAGGGAGAATGTGCAAACTCCACACAGACGGTCGCCTGAGGGTAGGATTGAACCCGGGTCCCTGGTGCTGTAAGGCAGCAGTGCTAACCACAGAGCCAATGATGGAAATGAAAAAGATTGCTTCTGATCATTGAACATTGTTTAAGGCAGATTTTTGACTAACAAGGGTTAGACTAACAAGGGAGTCAAGTGTTATCAGGGAAAAATCTCAGGCCCCATATCTCAGGAAGGATGTACTGGCCCTGGAGCGGGTTCAGAGGAGGTTCACGAGAATGGTCCCAAAAATGAAAAGCTTAACATATGAGGAACGTTTGAGGACTCTGGAACTGTACTCATTGGAGTTTAGAAGGATGAGGGGGGATCTAATTGAAACTTACAGAATACTGAATGGCCTGGACAGAGTGGGTGTTGGGAGGATGTTTCCATTGGTAGGAGAGACTAGGACCCGAGGGCACAGCCTTAGGGTAAAGGGAAGATCTTTTAGAACGGAGATAAGGAGAAACTTCTTCAGCCAGAGAGTGGTGAATCTATGGAATTCACTGCCACAAAAGGCTGTGGAGGCCAGGTCATTGAGTACATTTAAGACTGAGATAGATAAGTTCTTGATTATCAAGGGGATCAAGGGTTATGGGGAGAAAGTGGGAGAATGGGGTTGAGGAACTTATCAGCCATGATTGAATGACAGAGCAGACTCGATGGGCCAAATGGCCTAATTTCTGCTTCTATGTCTTATGGTCTTATGGTCTTATAAAAAGCAGGAAAGCAGCTGAGGCCACAATCAGATTAGAGACACCCAGTAGCAGCAGTGTGCACCATCTACAAGATGCACTGCAGAAATTCACCCAGGCTTCTTCAGTAGCATCTTCCAATCCCACAACCACCACCATCTGGAAGGACAGATGAGACTGGAGGGTTTGAGTTACAAGGAAAGGCTGAGTAGGCTGCCCTAGAGGGCAACTTGGGACCTGAGGGGCAACTTTTTCATGCGGAGGGTGGTGTATGTATGGAACAAGCTGCCAGAGGAAGTGGTAGAGATAAGTACAATTACAACATTTAAAAGACAGGTACATGGCTAGGAAAGGTTTAGAGGGAAATGGGCCAAACACAGGCAAGTGGGACTAGTTCAGCTTAGGACACCTGGTCAGCATTGACAAGTTGGGCCTAAGGGTCTGTTTCTGTCCTCCATGACTCTATGACAAGGGCAGCAGTTACATTGGAACACCACCACCTGCAAGCTCCTCTCTGAACCAATCACCATTTCTGACTTGGGAATATATTGCCATTCCTACAGCGTCAATGGGTCCAAATCCTGGAAACCCTTCCCTAACAGCATTGTTAACAGCAAGGATCTGTGCTAGGGAGGCATCCGTACACCATCAATACAAACGATTTGAATGTGGGGAAGAAATGTAATATTTCCAAATTTGCTGATGACATAAAACCAGGTGGAACTTGCTTTTATTGGGCAGTGCATTGAATGTAGGAGTTGGGAGGCCATGTTGCGGCTGTACAGGACATTGGTTAGGCCACTTTTAGAATACTGTGTACAGTTCTGGTCTCCCTGCTATAGGAAAGATGTTGTGAAATTTGCAAGAGTCCAGAAAAGATTTACAAGGATGTTGCCAGGGTTGGAGAGTTTAAGCTATAGGGAGAGGCGGAATTGGCTGGGGCTATGTTCCCTGGAGCGTAGAGGCTGAGGGGTAACCTTATAGAGGTGTATAAAATCATGAGGAGCATGGATAGGGTGAATAGCCAAGGTCTTTTCCTCAGGGTAGGGGAGTCCAAAACTAGAGGGCATAGGTCTAAGGTGAGAGGGGAAAGATTTAAAAGGGACCTGAAAGGCAACATTTTCACGCAGAGGGTGGTGCATGGATGGAATAAGCTGCCAGAGGAAGTGGTGGAGGCTGGTACAATTACACCATTTAAAAGGCATCTGGATGGGTATATGAACAGGAAGGGTTTAGAGGGATATGGGCCAAATGCTGGCAAATGGGATTAGATTTATTTAGGATATCTGGTCGGCATGAATGAGTTGGACTGAACGGCCTGTCTCCATGCTGAACATCTCTGTGAGTCTAAATGTAATTTGTGAGGATGGTGTAATGATGCTTTGAGAAGGCTTGGACAAGCTAAGTAAATGGGCAAGAAAATGGCAGATGGAATACAATGTGAACAAGAGTTAAGTTATTCACTTTGGCGAAATAACAGAAAGACAGAATACCTTTTGAAGGGTGAGAGGTTGGAAATATTGATGTCCAAAGAGACCTAGATGTCTTTGCTCATAAGTCACTGAAAGCTAACATGCAGGTGCAGCAAGCAATAGGAAAGACAGATAGTTTGCTGGTCTTCGTCAGAGAATTAGAGATATCCTGCTTCAGTTGTGTAGACCCTTAGAGAGACCTCACCTGGAGTATGCTGTAGAGTTTTGATCTCCCTAAGTCAGGGAGGATATGCTGGCCACAAAGGGACTGCAACAGACACTCACCAGATTTATCCTTGGGTTGGCCATGAGGAGAGATTGAGGAAACAGGGACTGTATTCTCTAGAGTTACACTTGTAGGGTGTGTCAGAATGGATGTAGGTAGGATATTTCCCCTGACTGGAGAGTCTAGACCCAGGTGTCATTCTCACAATAAGGAATAGGTCATTTAGGATGGAGCTGAGGGAACTGTCTTCTGCAGAGGGCTGTGGGAGCTCAGTCATTGAGCAAGACAGATATGGATGAATCTCTGGATACTAATGGCATCACGGGATGTGGAAATCACACAGGAAAGTGGCATTGAGTTTTGTAAAGATCGTGTTTTATTTTAGTGCTTTTTAGAATTGTAAACTGAAATAAGAAAGAACAATTTTAAAAACCAATGCTTCATAAGGATGCTGGATGACTTGGAAAGCAAGTAAGCTGACACCTATAGCAAGCATCATAAATAACAATTTAAACAAGCAGTAATTGAATTGGCTGCAGACAAACAGGAGCTGAGGGATTCTGTATTCAGATGAAGCTCTGGCTCACAAGAAGAAGTTAAATGGTCTGTGGACTAGTGATCAGTTACAGATGACAAGGGCCTTTTGCCTGCAGACAGCTGCGTGATGGGTGATGGGTGATAGGTTCTCAGGTAACTGAACTGCTTGGAGCTGGGAACAAGTTACAGAGAAACATTTTGAACTCTGCCAGGAGAGAAGCTGTCTCTCTGCTCTCTGCAGGTAAAATGCATTTTTAACTTGAAAAAAAAACAATTGATCCTTTTCTCAACCGTTGCTGTAAGTTGTGACTTCTAATTGATAAATCAGAGACATTTTACAAGTGAACCAGCCACGCTGTGCCCCGCACAAACCAGTGGAAACATTTGGAAACAAGAAAACCAGGAAGCAACTTTCGGATTAGCAACAACCAAATTTGTGGATAAAGGCAACTGAGCTGTCTTTCCAGACTCCCCCCTCAACTTAAGTGTTTTTTTCCCTGTCTATACTTCTGTCCGTCTGTCTGTGTGTAAAGGGATGTTTATAAGGGATTAGAGTTTTACTTAGTTGTGATATTTTATAATTGTTTACCTGTACTTTAATTTCCAGTGCATGACTCCAGTGAGTTGTGACATGTATATCATATTAAATTGGATAGGTAGGTAGATTGGGTAGGTCATTTTAAACTATCACATTAAATGCCAGCATAGGCTCGATGGGCTGAATGGCCTACTCCTGCTCCTACATTCCTGCCTTAAATGTACTCAGTGCATCAGGATCATGGGACTTTTAGCACAGAATTTGCCACCAAGCTACACAAAGAGATATTTGTGCAAGTGGAAAGGGTTGGTTTAAAGAAGCACATGAAAGGAAGACAGAGTAGCTGAAGAGGCTTAGGTAGGAAATTTCAGAGTCAGAGTCCCAGGCAGCTGAAGGCTGCAATACCAGCATGAAGAAAATTAAGGATGTACATGTGGCCAGAATTAGAGGGCTGTGGGGCTGAAGGGAAGTATAGGGGTATGAGATGGGGGCATGCAGGGATTAATAAACAAAGAAGGCATTTTAATCTGAAGGCATTGTTGATCAGGAATCAATGGAGGCCAGTGAGCACATAGGGTCGATGGCTGATTGATGCAGGGTGTGATGGCTTTTCATAAATAGGGAAGTGGGGCCATTACAATATGCACCATTGCATTTGATGCAGCTCCTTAGGAGAAGCTGAGATTAAAAGAAAACAATGACTGAAGGACTATTCGGGCGAGTGTGTTATCCCTGGAAAAAAATCTAATCTGCTTTCTTTTTCAAGCTTCGACAGAGTGAGCAGTGAATGAGCATAGAAATTTTTTTCTTCATTTTGTGGCATGTGGGCATCGCCGACTGGTCCAGCACTTATTGCCCATCCCTAGTTGCCCCTTGAGAAGGTGGGGGTGAGCTGACTTCTTGAACCGCTGCAGTTCATGTGCTGTGTGTTGACCCACAATGTCCTTAGGGAGGGAATTTCAGGATTTTGACCCAGTGGCAGTGAAGGAATGGTTATATATTTCCAAGTCAACTTGTGAACAGTGTTGGTGTGGAGGTTTCACAGAGGCTTCTGATGAGGGAAAGAGGGATGTGGGGTCACATTGCCGGCTTCCAGCATAAATCCTTGATGGGCACTGGGTTGGTAACACCATCCACAGACTGGCCATGTAGGATATGGGGCTCATGAAGTTTGCAACTGGACTGTAAGGAAGATCCCAGTTTAACTCAGACAACCAGGGGAAAAGAAAACCTCACCTTCATAGTCTTGTCCGAGCTGGCTGCCACCTTGTACAGGAGGAAGGAGCCCCTGATATCACAAAGTTTATCCATCTCACCATGTAAAATCAACATTGGCCAAGTGACGGTAGGCAAATCTTTCTCAAGTTTGGCAACCGCTTGTAACACCTGAATGGTGAATCTCACCCTATACGGTCCGTGGTAGTTGAGAGGATCATTTTTGAAGCTCTTTACCTGCAAGAACCAAAACATGTCACATTCACACGTTGGGACTTCAACAGAGGAACACTGCAGTTCAGCATCTACGCAAATTGTGTGAGATCGAAACAGGACAGGAATTGTTTTGAACGGTTTTGAAACTTAGAAATCCTGTTAGAAGTGCAACAGTGAACGTTGAGGTAGGTGAAGTCAAGCCAGGTAACCATAGTTGGGATTTGGGGATGGTGAGGTAAGGAGATCAATAGGAAAGAGCATCAGGAATGAAACAGTCACCAGGCAACATTAGCATCTGGACAAGCCAGAGGATGGGGTTTGGAGATATGAGCGGAGCATTCAGATTTAGAAAGACAGAGCTGAATGTGGGGAGGGACCATGGTTGAGGTAATGTTCCTTTTTATTCATTCACAGGATGTGGGCATTGCTGGCTGGGCCAGAATTTAATGTCTATCACTAATTGTCTACTGGGCAGTTAAGAGTCAATCACTTTGTGAGGTCAATAACGCACCCAAAACCATTCACAATTGTCCAGCTGTGGTCTAACTAGCGTCTTGGAAAGTTTTAGCAAAACTGCCCGATCTTTTTATATTCATGAAGCCTCACGGAATCAGGTCAAATATGGTTAAGGCAACTTCCAGCTGATTATTTTTACAATGAGTTACAGTCATAGAATCATACAGCACAGAAACAGACCTGTTCATCCAACCAGTGCATGCCGAACATAATCCCAAACTACACCAGTCCCACCTACCTGCTCCTGGCCCATATCCCTCCAAACCTTTTCTATCCATGTATCTATCCAAATGTCTTTAAACGCTGTAATTGCACCCATAGCCACCACTTCCTCAGGAAGTTCATTCCACATGTGAACCCTCTGTGTAAAAAAGTTTGCACCTCATGTCTTTTTTAAATCTCTCTCCTCTCACCTTAAAAACATGCCCTCTAGTTTTGAAATTCCCATCCTAGGGTAAAGACAACTACCATTAACTCTATCTATACCTCTCATTATTTCGCAAACTTCTGTAAGGTTGCCTCTCAATCTCCTACGCTCCAGTGAAAAAACTCCCAGCCTATCCAGCCTTTCTTTATAGCTCAAACCTTTCATACTCGGCAACATCCTGGTAAATCTCTTCTGAACCCTCTCCAGCTTAATAATATCCTTCCTATAACTGAGCGACCAGAACTGGGCACAATACTCCAGAACAGGCCTCATCAATGTCCTGTACAACCTCAACATGACCTCCCAACTCTGTTCCTCATATAAACGCCATTCAAGCCTCAAAGTTTCTTTAAGTACTATTTATGAATAATATGTATATGATGTTAAGTCAGCAGAGCTCCCTGCTCTGAGCTGCATGAGTTCCAGCAGAGTCTCGAACACCTGATTACTGAGATCACTGTTATACCACCATGTACACGCAGTAAACCCTATCTCTACACATTTCATGTACTGCAGCACCCCCAACCCCACCCTGCTGACGAATCAGTACTCCGTGTTCAACACCCCTTGGAAAAAGCTATCGACAGTACAGCCTGTACTCTTGGTGGGAATCTTTAACATCTATCATTTATTTTGACTCAGTGGTTTCAGAGCTGGCTCAGTCCTGAGGGACATAGCTGCCATACTGAGTCTATGGTGGGTAGGGGTGAGAGAACCAACTGGAGGGAAAGAAACCTACCTGACATTGCCTGCAAGAATTTTTCAATTCCATATCATCCACCCATGAAAAGTTTGGTGAGAGTGGCCATCACTGAGTCCACACTGAGATAAAGTCGTGCCTTCACATTAAGGATACCCTCCATTGTGTTGTGTTGCACCACTACTGTGCCAATGGGGCGTTTTCAGAATAGATCTCAAAACTGGACCCCCCTGAGGGAAATGGTATTCAACTACAATCTGCCAACATATCTCCCACTCTACCATTACCATCAAGCCAGGTTTCAATGCTCGGTCAATGGAGAGTGCAAGTGGGCATGCCAGGAGCAGCACTAGGTATACCTAAGAATGAGTTGTCAACCTGGTGAAGCTACAAAGCAGGGCCTTCTATCCATCGTAAGGTCAGAAGTGGGGATGTTTGCCAATAATGGCACAATGTTCAGCAACATTTGTGACTCCTCAGATACTGAAGCAGTCTCTGTTCATATACATCAAGACCTGGACAACATTCTGATGGGACTGTTAAGTACCAAGTAACATTTATGCCACACAAGTGCCAGACAATCAAAAAGAGGATGTAACCAACAAACCCCCAAACATTTGTATGCCTTTTTAATTCTGAGTCAAGCAGGATCGAGATACTCAGAGGATTGTGAATCTTTGAAATTCTCCACCACGGAGGGCTCTGAAAGCTCAGTCTGAGAATGTTTCAAGCAGAAATGGATGGATTTTTAAACAGCAATGACATAAAGGGATATGAAAAGGTATGGCTCCAAGGCTTTGAAGGGGATGTTCAGACATGATTGCATTGAATAGCAGAGTGGGTTTGATAGGTTGAATGGCCTACTCCTGTGCCTAGGCTCCTCTCACTATTATTGAATCCCTCATTATCAACATCAACCTCCTGGGGATTACCATTGACCAGTCACTGAACTGGACCAGCGATATAAATACTGTGAACACAAGGGCAGGCCAGAGGCTGGCAAATAACTCACCTCCTGACTCCTCAAAGCCTGTCCACCATCCACAAGGCACAAGTCAACAGTGTGATGGAATATCGCCATTTGTCTGGATGGGCGCAGCTCCAAAAACACTCGAGCAGTTTGACACCATCCAGGACAAAGCATCCGCTTGATTGGCACCACACCTACCCCCCATTCTCTCCACTATGAACGTACAGTGGCAGCAAGGCCCCAGAGGAGGAATACACATGGTTCTGAACAGCACGACCTGTGCATTGGCGAAACGGGGCTTGAGCTCAACTCAAAAGTTTTCCAAATATGGAAACAAAGAAAGCTCCTTTGAATATTTTAGAAACACTGAGGATCCCTTCCACGAGAACAAAATCCAGAAGAAACAAGGTAGATATTGTCAAATTGGAACAGAAGTAGCTTGAAAATCTATCCATAGTAAAAGAGGGTGAGGAACACCAAGAATTTTTTGGGTGTGCAGCCTTGAGGAATGAGGATAACAGGCGGCAGTAAAGCAGCCAAGAGAAGGAGCACAATATTTCTTTATTCATTCACGGGCATTGCTAGCCAGGCTGGCATTTTTTGCCCATCCATAATTGCCCCTAGGGCATTTAAGAGCCAACCACATTGCTGTGGGTCAGGAGTCATATGTAGGCCAGACCAGGTAAGGGTGGCAGATTTCCTTCCCTAAAGAACATTAGTGAGTAAGAGGTTTCTTTTCTCAGCAATCGAGAACAGTCCCACAGCCATCACTAGACTCTTAATTCCAGATTTTTATTGTTATGGACCGGTCAGAAAATATATTAAGAAGGCATCCTAGATCCTAAAATTTTCTTATTTCAAAAGGTAAGTGTGAGGTGCTGTGTTCCAGATGCAATTCGATTGATCAAACTAATCGACATTAAGCAAAATACAATTTATCCAAACACTATAGTTAAAATATAATAAAAGAAAGAAGAAATTGGAATAACTTCATAGGAAAACCTAACAGAATAATAGATTATTTCACTACCGAACAGCAACAGTTCCAATATAGTAACATCCCATAAACACACCTGTGGCAAAAAGGCAATTTCAGAAAACAGATTGTCTCACATGCAGTTCTCTAATACAGGAGGAAACAGAATCAAAAGACAATTCTGAGAGAGAGCTCAGAGAATGAGTGTAGCAACCAGGAGAGATTTATTGCCTTCTAACACTGCTGAGGACCCAGCAACAACTACCGAAAACTAACTAAAAGTCCTTACTCTGTGAGAGCTTGACCACACCCACTCAGGCTGCTTCTATTGTTCCAACTTTAAAAAAAAACCAAGGCCTCACAAGGCCTCTTCTCATAGTCTGCTCGCTACCCTGTCCTCCAATCTCTGTCCCTAAAAGAAACCAGGACAAAACATACCACTTAAAGCCACAGTATCATCACATTATCAAAACCAAATTCCACCATTTGTCACGATGGGATTCAAACGCAAGTGCCCAGAACATGGCACCTAACGCTCAGTAAGGGGGAGAAACCTGAAAGAAATGTTGTCTTTGAAGAGGTGGTGGTGAACCACCTGGTTGAACAGCTGCAGCCTGCTCGGTGATGACATTCTGGCATTGCTGCTGGGAAGGTAATCCAGAATTTTGACCTAGCAATGAGGGAACGCATTGCACTTCTCACATTTGTGTGACTACAAGATGTACTTGGAGCTGATGGTGCCTCATGATACTGCTGCCCTCGACCTTCTACAAAGAGGAAAAGACAAATTTGAGAGGAGAATACCAATCGGAAGCAGGACTTGACAGAAAGTTAATCTGCTGCTTCTGGACCTAACGATTTGGAAGAAATTTGAAGGAATGTGAGGGTGAATATGTTCCTGGGTCAGAATCCTGGAATTCCCTCCCTAAGGCCATCATGAGTCAACCTGCAGCACAAGGTCAGAAGTCACATGACACCAGATTATAGTCCAACAGGTTTATTTGAAATCACAAGCTTTCAGAGCGCGCTGACTTCAAATAAACCTGTTGGGCTATAACCTGGTGCCATGCCTCTTCTGACTTTGTCCATCCCAGTCCAACCTCCACATCATGGCTACAGCACATGGACTACAGCGGTTCAAGAAGGCAGCTCACCACCACCTTCTTAAGAGGCAATTAGGAACAGCAGATGACAATAGTCCAGCCAACTATGCCCACATCCTCTGAATGAATAATGAAAACCCGCAGGATATCGTGGTACTGAGGTGGGTGAAAAATGGATTTACTCAGATGGCACCAGAAATGCAAAGCTAGGCCAATCATGACTGAGTTAACATTAAAATAGTCCAAAAAAAAGTGGAAAATTGAGAAAAAATGGTTTTACCCAGAAAGCGGTGAGAATGTGGAATGCAGGAACGAAATAGGTTAGATGC